GTAGTCGCTTTAGGATATCCTTTAAAAGGTAATGGGACGAGCCTCGTCAAATAAAGACACACATCGCGGGGCCCTCAAAAACCGCTTTTAATAAATACGTAAGTTTTGGGATGGACTGTCTAGAAAAGTTCACTCCTTCCCCAAAGATAATAACGCGTTAGGCCCTTTAGGCGCGGCTTAATTAAATTACATTCTTAAACTCGGGTGCACATTGATGTGGCCCGAATCCAAATCTCAACGGAGTCGAAATGTATTAATAACTACAGGTGCATTGATTGCGACGTGGTTCGAGATGCATTTTCACGACGTTGCAATTCTATAAAAATAAATGATAATAATAAAAACGGTTTTAAACTTAATAAAAGCACATAAGTCACAACATGTATTTAAATCAGATATTTAGCCATTATAACAATTTAAGCGACCGTGCTAGAACCACGGGATTCGAGGGTGCCTAACAACTTCCCTCGGGTCAACAGAATTACTTACTTAGAATTTCTGGTTCGCAGACTTCATTTGGAAAAGTCGAAAATTTCCTCGATTTGGGATTCAAGATAAACCGGTGACTTGAGACACCAAAAACCAAACCTTTCCCAAGTGGCGACTCTGAATTAAATAAATAATCCCATTTCGAATATTGTCACTTAAATTGGAAAAACTCCCTCGCGCATTTAACCCTTCGGGGCGGGACGCGCAAAAAGGAGGTGTGACAGCAACTATATTATATTTTAAAGGTTTTGGATCACCTTTTTTTTATAATTCCGGGTCAGCTTGCGCATACCTCGACTAATTCCACCGGATACCTGCTACCTCCTACCCGCAATAGGTACCAAGTAACTCTATCCACCAAGGCTTGGACATATGGGAAGAAATCACCTAGTGTGTTTGTCCATGCTGAAATTTGAACCGGAGACCTCAGGTTCTCAACCCACTTCATTGACCACTAGGTCACACCCTTGGATGTAGTTTTGGATCACTTTAGTTATTGGCGTTCAGTATTACATGTTCATATTCTTTCACATGGTATAAGAACCAAGCTTTATTAAGCTCAGTTTCAGTAAATACGCACTAATTTGCACATTTTAACTCCAAAACTGGGTTCTATGAAAGCCATTACCTCTAGAAAGGATTACCTTAATACAAGGAAAAAGCAGAAACTTTAGAAACTACAGTCACACTCGGATGAATGCCATTCTAAATAATGAAGAAAACCAAGGATCGACAAGAAGAAAGATCCCTATATAATGACCAAGTATCACTTCTCAATCAAGCCCATCAAATGATTTACTGGTTGTGTACTTTATACAGCATTCAAATAAAGCCGGTGAAGTTAAAACGCTAATGCAAAATGAGAAAAGGAGAAACCCTAAGAGAACCGAAAAGAGTCAAAAGATTCCAAATTCTGTAGAAGAACAATAATCGTTCAGACAAATCATCAAACACGTAGCATACAACTTTCTCACACTTTCTCCTCCCGAATGAAGTCCTCAGAATTCGCCGCTTGAGTATCACCATTGTCGCTAATCACAGGTGAGTCAATACGTTGAGGCGTTTGTTGTTGAGAATTCATGAGCTGCTCCATATCCCGCATTCTGGTCCTCACAACGCTGGCCACTAAAACTGCAAGAAAGAAGAAAATTGAATATTGGCCAAAAGGGTATTAAGACCTAAATAAAAATGAAAAAAAGAACTCGAGAAATGGAGAAGAGGGGTATTATACTGCCAGCAGTTCCAATGGCCCAAAGCCAGAGGATCTTCACTCCAGGTCCTCTGTCTTTCCACATTTTCCTGCTACCTCTGTTGTTGTACTCTCTGTTGGTTCCAGTACAGTGGCACACGATTTTCCGCTTTGCCCGATGCTCAGCTCGGGTAAAATAAAAAGGGGCGGGTCGGATCGGCCCGCTAAGGACTTTGGTTAAATTTATTTTTTCTTTTCTTGAAAAATATAATTTCAGGTGTGATGAGCCAATGAAGAGGCTAGAGAGAGAAATAAATGAAGAAATAACTGGTGAGATTGAAACCATATATTTACGTGATGCTAGAGGTGTTACATCCTATTAGGGGTGTTCAAAACCGATCCGAAAATCGAATCGAAACCGAAGCTTAATGACTTATTAGTATCAGGTTAACAGTTTAACGGACGGAGAACAGATTGAATTTTTTTATTAACGGCTTATCGGTTTGGGGGCGGATTATTCAATTTTCTTAACGGATAATCCGTTAACCCGTTAAGAATATATATATATATATATATATATATATATAATTTATTTTATCCATATATATATTAAATATCAAAAACCCTTCCACTTCCAGAAATTGCACTGTTGAAGATCTATTCGGAGATTGCACTGTTGAAGAACTTGAAGAATGACAACATCACAGTACTATATCATGTCTGGAAAGACAATGAACATAACATCCTTAATTTTATAACTGAGGAATGTGCCTCTGGTAATTTGAGGGATTATACGAAGAAGCATCGTCATGTTTCGATTAAGGCATTGAAGAAGTGGTCTAGACAAATACTACAGGGCTTGAATTATCTACACACTCATGACCCTTGTGTTATTCATAGAGATCTCAATTGCAGTAACATCTTTAGCAATGGCAATGTTGGAAAGGTAATGAATCAACTCATTCAGTTTATCTTCCGTTAATGTAGCATATAATGTACAATGTGTTCTGCTTTTTTCTCCAACACATGACACACTACATCATTTTTATGTAGGCATTAACAGACATGTATATCTGAACTCAATGTGTAATTTCGATTTCTAAATTTATATGCTAGGCTGCTAGCAAAAAATTAATGCACGCAATATAAATTGAATTAGGCCGATAAACCGCCCCATAACCGCTCAATAAGAGCTAAACCGATACCAATCCGCCCGATATCTTATCGGGTGGCTAGCAAATTAATATATTTAAAAGCCGATAAGCAGCCCTACAGCCTATAGTTCACCCAATTTGTTTACTAAACTTACTCAAGAGAAATCGAGAAATTGTGTTAAGATTTAGTTTTGGTCTATAATTAAAAATAAATTTTGGAAAAGGACTAGTGAACTGAAGAATGTCTATAATTGAATTAGTTTTGAGAAATCTTTTGGAGAATAGCTGTGTTCATCTTTTTTAAACACCTATCTTTGGCTATCTTTTATTCCTGGAGAACATTCAATTTGATTCAAATTGACGTAGCTCTTATATATTTGAGAAAATAATGCATAAATTTTTTTCTAAAACATTAAAAGTGACCATACCATTATATATTTTGTGCATTAAATGGAGATTATGGTCAGTTAACACTCATATAGTTGGATGGAACTCCTCCCTATTTTTCTCAAAGTTTTTACTTGGATGGGAGACGCTTGTTATATTTTAAAACTAATGGTTTAGAAATATTTAGTTAAAGTAAGATTCTAACCATGCTTAGAATAAAGATATTCCATGTTTGCTCCCTAAAAATTTGGCAATCTCATAATTCTAGCTACACTCTTCTCATTGATAAATCTATTATTTTTCAAAGTTCTAACCTTTCTATTGGCTATATATTCCACTTTATCCCTTCTCTGGACTATATATTTCACCTGTTAGGAAAAATTTAAGTATCAATAATGCATGGAATCAAATTTTCTAAAGTGTAAATTAATATGACAGTATTTAAAATTTGGAAAATTTGTCGTTGGTCTAACCGAATACAAAAAATTGTACACAAACTCCATAAGCTATATTATTTTGTCAATATCTTGATTATTGGCATCACTAATTACCGTTAATATCAATCAGATCCACGAGAAACAGATGAAAAAACACAATACAATGTCAATCATTTGGTATCAAATGTGCATCACGACCTGCATCTTACTAGCCAATACCAATGTTAGAATCGGGAACCCGGGTAGTGCAAAATTTAGCCAAACAATGTTATAATGACAATAACAAAGATAATGTCAGTTGATAATAATGGTAATTAAAGCAGATAAAGAGGACACCAATTTAACGTGGTTCGGTCAGTGCGACCTACGTCCACAAGCGGAGAGGAGCAATTTTACTATAACAATAAGACTACAAAAGAGAGTACAAAATTAGAGTAAAAACTCTAATTAATCCCAAATATCCCAAGAGAATAATCTCACAAGATCACTCCAAAGAAGGGTTCACACAAGTATTTCCCGACACTCAACTCTCTTACAAAATAATCTTAATTACTAAAGGAGGAGGAGAAGAAACAAAAAATGAATAATCCAAATCTTGTTGGTGTACTTCAAATGAGCCAGAATCGGCTCAATTTATAACCAAAGGAATTGGATTTGCTTGGTTATAACTTGACCAGCAAATCTCAATTCTAATGGTTTCAAATTGGCCACCAAGGCCTCTTACAACAAGGCCAAAACAAGGCCACGTTATTACAAATCTCCACCTTGGTCTGATTTTGGCTATTATAGTAAATTTGCTTCACCTTCTCCGCAAAAGCCTCAGTGGGCAAAATCATTCTTTATAAATGCCAATCAAGTTCACGCAAAGCTTGAACTTGACAACTGGAAGAGGTTTCGTGAACATAGCAGCAGGATTGTCTCTAGTGTTGATCTTCTAAACAGAAACTTTTCCATCAGCAATGGTTTCCCGGATAAAATGGTACTTGATATCAATATGCTTCGTTCTCTCATGATACATTTGGTCTTTAGTCAAGTGAATGACATTTTGACTATCACAAAAAATGATAATACCACCTTGGTGTAAACTGAGTTCAGCAAAGAGACCCTTCAACCATAAGGCTTCTTTGATAGCCTCGGTCACTGCCATATATTCTGTTTCGATAGTAGATAAAGCTACTACATATTGTAATATAGCTTTCCAACTGATAGCGCAACAACCAATGCAAAATACATAGCCTGTCAATGATCTTCTTTTATCAAGATCACATGCATAATCTGAGTCTACAAAACCAACCAAAGTGTTAGTATTTTTTCCAAACTCTAAACATGTGTTTGAAGTACCTTGCAAGTAGCTGAGAATCTATTTTACAGCCTGCCAATGTGCTTTACCAGGGCAAGCCATATATCAGATTACCACACTCACTGCTTGTGAAATACCTGGACGTGTACAAACCATAGCATACATAATACTGTCGACTATACTGGAATAAGGTACCTGTGCCATATACCTCTCTTCTTCCTCTGACTACGGGGATTGAGCAGCTGATAACTTAAAATGAGCAGCAAGAGGGGTACTCACTGGTTTAGCATCTTTCATGCCAAACCTATCCAAGACTTTCTCCAAGTTCTTCTTCTGGGTCAGGAATAGCCTGTTGGCTCCTCGATCACTTTTGATCTCCATGCCAAGGATTTTCTTAGCTACTCTCAAATTTTTCATTTCAAATTTACTTTTCAATTGACTTTTCAAATTGTGAATTTCTGTCAAATCCTTAGCAGCAATGAGCATGTCATCAACATATAATAATAATAAGTACACAAATGAACTATCATTCAACTTCCAGAAGTAAACACAACTATCATACATGCTTCTTGAATAACCATGACCCAACATAAATGAATCAAACCTATTATACCATTGTCTTGGAGACTGCTTTAATCTGTATAAGGATTTCTTTAACAAGCAAACATGATCTTCTTTTCCTTCAATTTAAAATCCTTCGGGTTGATGCATGTATATTTATTCCTCAAGTTCACCATGTAAGAAAGCTGTCTTAACATCAAGCTATTTTAATTCCAAATCATACATGGCAACTAAGGCAAGAAAAATACGAATAGAGCTATGTTTAACAACATGTGAGAAAATATCATTAAAATCAACTCCTTGTACCTGACTATAGACCTTTGCAACTAATCGTGCCTTATAACTCGCATCTTCAACCCCTGGAATGCCATCTTTTTTCTTGAAGACCCATTTGCAACCAACAATTCTTTTTCCTGATGGCGGCTTCACAAGAGACCAAGTACCATTCTTGTGGAGAGACTCAATTTCTTCATTCATTGCCATCAACCACTTGGTTGAGTCAGCACCAGAAATTGCTTCTGAATATTTTGATGGTTCTCCAATTTCTTCAGTTTCCTGTGAAACTAAAAAAGCAAATGCAACATAATCTTCAAATCTTAGTGGTTGTTTACTTTCTCTTCTTGGTCTATGTTTGGCTATAGAATACTCCTCTTCTTCTGGATCAACTTCAGAAGTCTCAACTTCAGGAATTTTAGCTTCTCGCTCAACTTCAGGAGTTTCAATTGTATTTTGCTCTAAAGTTGATGAACTTGGCTCAAAAGGAATGCCAATTTTAACCTCCACCTGCTTCTTTATACTCTTCCCTTTATTTGTATTATAAGAACTAGAAGACTCTTTTCTGGAATGTAACATAGACGATTCATCAAGTTACATCTATGCTAATTATGAATTTTGGTGCCATGGGATCAGGATACCATAGTCGGTATCCTTTCACCCCAGATGCATACCCAAGGAAAATTCACTTTTTAGCCCTTGGCTCTAATTTTCCATCATTTACATGCATGTATGCAGGGCAACCAAATATCTTTAAATCATAATAATTAGTAGGAGTACCTGACCACATTTCTTCTGGAGTCTTAAAGTTTAAGGGTGCAGAAGGAGCACGGTTGACAATATAACTGTCACGACCCAAATCCGGACCCGGTCGTGATGGCGCCTCTCGTGAAGACAAGGCCAGTCGACACTTCCCATTTTCAAATTTTATTAACCATTAAGCATTTAGAAACAGCCGAAACATGATAAAGTAATCCAAAGTAGCAGATAATATCATAAATACGCGAAAGAACAACACAATACAGCCATAATCGGGGTGTCACTAGTCATGAGCATCTATAAAACCTAATACAAGTCTGAAGAGTCTACAACTATTACAAATGTCTAATAAGAGATAGAAATGATAAAGAAAGAGAAACACGGGACTGTGGACGTCAAGTAGCTACCTCGTGAACTCCGAATGTCCGTCGG